TTTCCATTTCATTTCTACCCTTACTTCTCGCTCAGGTAAAGACTTTTTCTGGCTTTGACAAAGTCCAAAAATAAGGGTATTTTAAGGTCCAATATCTCCGATGAGTAACCACTTCTGATCATTATTCTTAAATGGGCAGCGAAAGCCATCACTGGACTTCTAAAATCAGTAATAAAATTTTTGGGCAATTTATTTCATAGCCCGTGCTGACGTGAAATTTATCTACCTCGCGCTTTTTAGTCTATATCATCAAAATTCCTTACACTACATTTTTGTTTTATTAACTTAAAATAACTTGAAATTTACAAGAAATTTCCTAGAGTATCGTTTAAACATGAACGAGATGTACCAGATTCGATTTACCTCGTTGCCTTGTTGAAGTACTAAACGCAGACAGAGCTCTCGGAAAGATCCACCAAAATGATTGGTCTTTTACGGTGTGATACTTATCGACTTACATTATATGTGTCGTGTCTTATTTGTGTTTGCCGACTAAAATATTTTAAGAACGTAGCACGTGAATTCCAGCAATGCAAGTTCTAGCAAGTTTACGTGCACGTGACCTTTTTCGTTTCTTTTTTTTATAAATAAGTACCTTGGAACTCTAGTTTTCGGGAAGTTGGTATCTAAGTTAGTTTGTAAAGTTCGCGAAGAGTTTTTGCAAAAGATTCAGAGAATTTCGAAGCGACGTGGAGCGACATAGGTAGAGAGGCTGATTTACGACGCTGTGGAACTCTGAAGAAAAAAGAAATTAAACAAGGAGTTTACAATATGTGTTCGTGGCAAAAAGATAATTTGATGCCCTAAAAGCTGATGTTAATCAAATGGACAATCGGCCATCTTTGATCAGATCGCGCCTGCAGTTTTGTTCAGCGGTGAACTTTGACATTCATTTGGCATGTTGTGTTTCTAGTCTACTAAGTTTAAAATGTAGCAAAGATTTACGGCTACCAAAATATTTGACGTGTTATTTGTTAAGCTTGAGATAGTTGTTGGTTCACCGAGAGGCAAATAAGCTCGTGATAAATTGGTTTCCTCTCAGCACAAGGAAAAAGAAAATGGTTAAAAACCTGACACGCATATAGAGGTCACTTAGCATTTTTATCCGAGGTTTACTGCATACATTTGATATGTAATCTCTTGCGGTGTACTGTCATGTCATATCTGGCCTCGGAGTGCATAGTATATTGTGGCAGCCTCTTCGCTCCGGCCACATTGTAACTGATTATATGACATACACACTCGACCGCTGAATAATATTGCCGGCTTGGTAAAGGATGGCGCAGCGTTGATCACGAGGACGAAGGAACTAGGAGAACTAGTTTACCACGAGATCTAGTGATCCCTTAGCAACCTTCCAACATTGAATGTGTTTGGAAATCAGAAATGTTTATTTTCAGTAAAGGACAAGGAAGTAGCAATGTCAAAGTTATCCAATTCAATTAAAAGTGATAGTGGTTAAGTTTGAAAGAAGGTACTATCAGACTTTAATGCCACAGTGCTAGTCACACTACCATCGAATTTCTGTGGTCAAATATCCTATCCAAGACTTAAGGTTACTTCCCACCTTTGCAGGTGTCCTTAGGAAAAAATTCGTACGCGTGCTATTTTCATTAAATCCTTGCAAAAAATGCATCAGAAGAAAGCTTAATAAATGCAAACTACGATAAAAATATAAAATTTAGTGAGCTTTCCTTTTAAGAAATGTCAGGAGTCGGTAAGACCTGAATCGATCGAGGGTTCTTCTATTGAGTTTATTGGGTAACGGATGCCGCAGCACAAGCACAATGTCTACGCAGTCACAAGGCATCAATCAACAAAAGTATGTCAGGCTTTTTCGATATTCTGATTGGTTGTCTAGATATTACCATCTTAAGTTGAAGTACTTAAAAATATCGAGGCGTGTTGCGTAAATGAACGCAAACAAAAACTTACATTTTCCTCGTATAAACATTGGCTAAATCCTTTCCTGAAAAAAACGGCGGCAAAAAAGCGATCATGTCTCTTCAAAGTCCTTTTCTTGGACGTCGAAACAATTTTTCGCCATAATCTTTCTTGTAGTAACTTGCAATGTTTACCCCGTGACGACCTCAGAGACGTTTGCGAGGACACGAGGATCCGCGAAATGTGAAAGAGAGAATTCTAGTTGCCTTTTCTATCACTTTATGCTTGGGATGTTTGCAAATACACGAGAGTCTGTGTCACAAAATCCTGCTCTCATGTACTCACCTTCTGAGAATGTAGCTGAGTCTGACACTCCGACAATCTTGAAATGTATGCCGACGTCCTTGGTACACAGTTTCTCTTATCAATTGCTTTGCCGACTGTGCATTTTCGGAATTAAAGGAGTTCGGGGAAGCAGTCTCTAGCTTACTTGAGTCACTAAGAAAAGTAGAAGCGTCTGAGCACGAAGGAGGATTTCTTCCGGGTTTTGATGTTAATATTAGTGGATTGTCGGTTGTTATTTGTAACCTTTAAGAGCGGCTATTACACACTTAACATTTATGCCAAGTTTGAGCCAAATTGGTGATTTGAGGTTTATCACCCTCTGCCCGGTTTTCTCGCGAACACGCTCTTAATACTTCTGTCAAAGGCCGTCTTCCCGATTTTTTAAGCAGTTGTGCCGCGCTTTGTTGGGAGTTTTGTTTTGGAAAAACCGTTGTTTCTTTTTCCTAACCTGTCAGCCCTTTTGTTCTGTTGTGCTTTCGCGACTCTCCTGTCAATCAATTTTGTGTCAAATTTCTGCACTGAATCTTTTTTACTCAACTTTGTGATAAATTGACGTGCTCTCAACTAATGAACATGCCGAAATTTTTGCATGCATATTATAGAGGTCGAAGCAGAATTCTCGAAATTTTCAACACCAAGTGGCTAGTGCTGTGCTCAGTTCGTACGTCACGATATCGAGCCAAATATTACAATTCCGGCCCTCCCACTCAGTCAATAACTACATTGCATTTAATGCTAAGAAGATAGTAATGCCAAAAGTGATGTTTGTATTACTACACTGTAAATGCTTTCAAGAATGATGGGAGCATAGAATACGAGCAGTTCCTCCTTTTCGGCGAGGTCCTTCGCACGAGTGAAAATTCACCAGTGAAAAAAATACATGTTAGTGCGCCGCGCGGAGCTCTTGCAGGGACGTCGAAGCGCAGCAGGAGCTCTATGAACGAGGCACTCGAAAATGGAAACAATGCCTCAATGTGCAAGCAGTGCACCCTGAAGTCAAAATCGATTCGATTTTTTTCCGAGGGAAAGAAACAAACAAGGGAATGGACCACTGAATACGGGAATTGAAGTCTAAAATGAAATCAGATATTTGAGCCCGCAAGAATAAGAATCCCCATACAAACCCAAGGTGTCACCCAAACGGCTGCGGGTGTATAGCATATCAGCTCATCTTCCCTCACTATATAAGAAAAGTGTCCTATAGTTGTTCAGTTGCCGCAATTGAATAAGTTTCAACGGGTTCTAATCTCAATGTGAGCCGAATGAGAATATAATTTTTTTTCAATTTTCTAACATGTTAAGATGCCATAAAGGGAAAAACCTACTTCCTCTCTTCCCCCACCGCCAACACGGCTATCCCTATCCTTACGTTCCATAACCTTTTTCCTCTTTTGTACCGCTTGCTGACGCAAAAAACATATTTAAAAACCGTGGAAAAGACAAGTGAATCTATTCCCAACAGCTGTGACTTCGGGCTCGTCGCGGCTGTAATGTAACAGGTAGCCCAGTTTTCGCTCTTGGAGAGTCTTGTTATTTATAGATTGATACCCGCCACGTTTGTTTGTACTCGATGAGAACCATTCTTAAAAGTACATCTTAATACAGTATCATTTGATCGTGTAGCCAAGGCATTCCCGAGAAGGACGCATGAAGAGTTGTTGTCAGTCGAGTGTTGTAAGTTCACTTTGTGTAAACTGATTTTGGTCAGTTTTGCATTGATGTTATTGGCTTAAGAATCAGCTGGCATATATCAGTCTTGACCGAACTGATCAATTGCGACCGAGTTACGCCACTTGAGTCATCACTGCCGACAACAGTCCTTGTCAGGACTAGCCTCACCTGGATGATCAGACTACGCGATTAAGTATTTTATGATATATTATAGATATCTCAATGAAAACATCTCCATGAATTGTTGTCTCGCGCTGCTTGAGAAGCATAATTGCTGTCTTCCGTGGATTTTCCCCTAGTTTACTTGCTAAGTTAGATTTGTTATAATTAAGAGAGACCGTCTGTTGAGCCAATCGTAATAATTTACATATTAGTCTATGTAAAATCAAAGTACGCCATGATTGACAGTTTGGGATCACGATTTGAGGACTTCATCGTTCGTTTTTGTTTATTCATTTATGGATTTTTTCGCGAAAAAGCCTACCATTGCTTAAGCTACAGGATCTGTCAGCTTTTGGGAGTTGTTCTGCACGGTTCTCAGATAATCAGTTGAGTCCCAAGAGAAGAGAGACTGGAAATGGAGAGTGAATTTGTGTCGGTATCCAAAGAATTCAAGAGTCATGTCATTGGAAAGTACGTGAGTGGGTTAAATAGCATAAGGCAGAGATCTGGAGCAAAAATTACATCAAGATATAGAGAAGAGGAAGGATTCATTGTTAGTGGAGATGACCAGCAGAGAGAAACTGCAAAAAAGCTTATTTTAGAAAAAGTGGTATGTTGATGCTTTACTCATAAACGATATGGTAACAAATAAAATTATGGATACTATTCCCATTAGTTACAGTACAGTTTCTATGGCCTGAACCCTTTCCTGATGAGATGGTCAAAAGGTAATTGCAGTGTTTTATATGAAGTAAAGTCGTTTCGTTTATTCGAAAGTTACAGAGTGTCCCAGAATGCTGTTTAGTTTAGATCTATTTACATGCGAGCTGCAACTCATCGCCTTTTTTTTTCAAAGGAGGAAATATAGATAACTAAGTGGGAAGAAGTGGAGATTCCAAACGAATACAAAGGTTTGGTGATTGGAACGTGCGGAGCTAATCTTCTCGAGATAAGCAAAGAAACAGGAGCAGAAGTTACCCGTAAAGCAAGAGAAGTATGTATAATTCAGGGAACCAAGCAACAAAGGGATCATGTAAAATTGCTTGTCAAACTCAAAGTGGTGGGTAGTTTGCATAAAGTTTTGTTTCACCTCACTAAATAAGTTTTGAGTCGCTTCTGAGCTTGCGTAGCTTTCTTTTTTTGAGCCCTAAAGGGAGGCAGGCATAAAAACTAGCACCGGAACCTTCTAAGCTTCTCACCATCATGACTGTGCCACTCAACTCCTCAAATAAAGTGCTCTCAAATCGCCAGTCACGTACGGTAAAAAAAATTCAACTTTCTTTCCTTTTTATCCAACCTTCAACAAATTTAGTTTGTTATGACGGTATCCATATCATTTCTCTCGCAATGTGCAATTATGTTACAGATATTTTTGCTCGAGCTCAAGCTCAGGAGCATGTCAAATGTGGCTACAATTATTACTCTCGATGACGCTTAAACAAAGAAAAGTTTCTAAAAATAAATGTCTACCCTTCTGAATTGTTGCACGCGCCCAACAAAATGACAGGTTTCAAGCAATAGCAACTTGCAAATTGGCCCTTTCCCAAAAAATTCTTTTAAGCTTGACAACCCATTTTGGTGTTATTGTGAAAGAAATAGGAGAGCAGATATTTTAGAAAGCTTAATCTTTTGCAAGTTGGGCTGCGTTCACAGTTGGTGCTCGAGCTCGGTGCCCGAGTACGATTCTTGATGGGCACTGAGGATACGTTCACACTTGGTGCCCGAGCATTAGTGTGAGGGCGCCAGCACAAAATAACGCTGTTTTCAGACACTGGGTGTCCGATATGTCAGTGCCCGGGTACAAGGCCAACACCTTGTACTCGGGCGCGGGCACCGTGCCCGAATTCTGGCGAGGGCGGTTGAAAGAAAGGTGTGTTCGCAGTAGTGCCATCAAGAATCATACTCGAGCACTGTGCTCGAGCAGCAAGCGTGAACGCAACCTAATGTGAACACACCTTTATTTCAAGTACCCACACCAGAATTCGGGCACCGTGCCCGCGCCCGAGTACAAGGTCTTGACCTGATATATCGTGTACCAAGTGTCTGACCACAGCACCATTTTGTGCATTAATGGCTCGGGCACCAAGTGTGAACGGCAGCTTTAGAAGCTTTTAAAGCAGGTTTAATACAGAAATCTCAGTACGGGTCTCATTACTTACCTTCTGTATGGTTTTATTCGGCTTCGTACAAAGTCGCTTATTTGCGCTCTCTAAGTGGCCGAGAGGAATCCTTAAGGTCTAACGATGCGCGTGCGTTTTTCCTCTTTTTGCCTTCTT